TCCTATTGACTAAAACAATACATTCTTTGCAGAGCTTTATATCGCAACTCAGATATCGTACTAATGGACGACCCGTTGAGTGCTGTCGACACCTCTGTTGCCGAACATATATTTGATAAGTAATGCCATTAATAGTCATATGAGACACACCTACCAGTCCTCTAACCTGTCTTTCCATCAGATGTATAGTGGAGTACTTGTCGGACAAAATTCGGATTCTAGTCACACATCAAATCCAATTCATACGAAAAGCCACACAAATACTGGTCTTAAGCCCAGAAGGCCGGTGCCTGGGGTTGGGCTCATACGACGAACTCCAGTCCCAGGGCCTGGACTTCATGAAACTACTGAGCGATCAGGACAGGGAGGCTCAAAACACCGCATTGGCTGTCGAGGATAAAAAGTCGAGCCATCACTTGGACAGGGATGCTATGATGCGATCGTTTTCGCAGTCGAGTATTGAGGCCCAGAAAGTTAGATCCTTTTCCAAGAGTAGTGTCTCCATTACGGACAGCATCGACACGTCCAGCGTAAGTACAGCATAAATAGCTAGATAACTATATTCAGTTACTACGGTAGTTAGTATCCTAGTACCCTAATTATAATCTTGGTTAAATTAAATTATATTTTATTTACTTAATACTAAATCCATTGTTTGAATATTTGAGCATGGTAGGCCGCATACAAATACAATTAATACTTCTTTTGATAAATATTAAAATTAATTTAAATTTTAAACAAATATTTGATAAACAGATTGATATACTTGAAGAGGACGGGGATGGGCCCCGGATTCAAGAGGAGCAGCGAGAGGTGGGTGCCATCGATAGCCGCGTGTACTGGGAGTACATCAAAGCGGGCGCCGGACCCCTATTGGGCACATCCACCCTCTTATTTACCATAATATCGCAAACTATATTTCACGGCTCAGACCTGTGGCTAACGGCCTGGTATGTCATCAAAATCATCATTGTATAAATCAGCTTGATAAATAATACTAATTTATTGAATAATGAAATATATAGGACGGATAAAAATCAAGCCCAGGGACACGCTATAGACCCATACGAGCAGCACCTGGATGTGTATATCTACTCGGGGCTGATAGGCCTGTTGTTTTTCACCACATTCATCCGGGCCATCACGTGGTTTGTGATGTGTATGCGGGCGTCCGTTAATCTACACAACAGTATATTCTATCGACTATTACGGGCGCCGATAGCCGTGTTTGACAGCAACCCCGTCGGTGTGTATAACAATATATATATTTTTGCAACTCTTACTATATTGAATGCCACTTATCAATTGTGTCCAGGTCGCATTTTGAATCGATTCACTAAAGACCTCGGTGTGGTCGACGAGATGTTACCGGCTACATCATTCGACTTAAACATGGTAAATACACTCATTATAATCTTGATCCATGTTCAACAATATTATTAACGCAACGGTATTAAATAGATAATCGGCCAAACCATAGGTGTAATAGTGGTGGTGGGACTGGTGAACCCATACCTGGTCATACCAGCGGCGTTCATATTCTGTATGGTGGCCGTCATACGGGGTATATACATCAAATCGGCCAGGGATATCAAACGCTTTGAAGGGCTTAGTACGCAATCATTAATACCTTAGTTTAAAAATCATAGAAATCACCTTACTTAATAATAATAACCCAAAAATTACACCATTTTATTTAGCCCGGAGCCCCGTGTACTCACACGTAAGCACCACCATTAGCGGACTGGCCAGTGTGCGCGCCTATGGGGCACAGGAGGCCTTTGAGCGCCAGTTCTACGTCTACCAGAACGACCACTCGGCCACGTGGTTCACATTCCTGGGCACATCCCGGGGCTTGGGCTGGACTATCGACTGGTTTTGCGTGTTGTATATTGTGATGATCGCCGTCGTGTTGATGGTCTTTCCCGACGGTAATCCGCATACAAATGCTTTCATTTCTATTAGTCGTAAAAATATTATATTTAAAATCTAATCAAATGTGAGCATACTTAGAATATATACAGTAAAATAATTTACTATTTAATCCATATTTAACAAATACTACTTGCTACTAATTATTAGAAATTTTAAATATTTTTATACTTTATCATTTAATTACAAATTGGTTAATGTCAATTTAAATAAATATTTAATAATAATTATTATTACATATAAATAGGTATTCCCGGTGGCAGTGCAGGTCTGGCCTTTTCATCAGGTAAGCATAAAATTGATAAAATGTTTTCAAAAATAAATTTTAATAACATTTTAATGTCAGCCCTAATGCT